TAGAGTAGGATTGCTTACAGGACTGGGCAGGATGCAGTGCATGCTCTTTGATCCCACTGCTGCTCTGCTAGGATCTCTGCTCCAATTTTGTGCTCACTCCTGTGTGGTAGGATCCCAGTCCTGCTGGCTGTGATCTGCAGCACCCTCTGCTGCTGAATCCATGCATGGGCCACTCGCTTTCTCCTTTCTGTCCTTTTTTGGCTAAACTTTGAGAAGGGGAACCACACGAGGGAGCCTTCCACTGTAAAATGCTGTCCTTTATACATTCACTTACCACTGCCTGTGCTGACTTGTGCAGGCCACAGATGTAACTGCTATGAACACATGCTCAAAATGACTTTGTAGGGTTCAATTTTGGTCTGTTAATTTTTGTCTGTCTTGAAGAGCAGTACCACACAAATGTAGCTGGACTCTTTTCACTGCCTGTTTAGGGCTGGAAATGGTTGAGCTGTATCTGTGTGGTGCAGCCCCTGATTTAAGTCTGGCTCCTTCCAGGCAAGCCTTAAAGGCATCTTCCCTGCCTGTGTAGGACCACTGAGGCACAACATGGTGCTGCCATGCAGACCAGGGGGTGGCTGGAGCCTTCAGGGTGGGCTAAAAACTTCCTTTCTGTAGTCTGTGCCCAAAATGATTTTTTTTTTCCATGGAGGTTTGAAGAGATCCATGCACACCCCTTTTGGGCAGTCAGGGCTCAGCTGCTGATGAGGAGCGTGGTCATTTTCCTCTGCATCAGACTTCCATCTCTGGCCAGAACTACATAAGTAGCATTGAGAGCACTAGTTATTTGCAGTGAAGGATGTAACCAAAAGAATGGTTTGCTCTTTTCATAGATACTGTTGCAAATTTTAAAAGGAGTTTCACAAGCCTCATAAATGCTTTGAATTTTAAAATATTCTGCTGTGACATTTATGGTTAATTCCTTAACTGTGCTACTTCCTTTTTTTTGTCACTTAGTACTGAAACATCCTGCTCAGGTTGTGACTCCTCTAACATATGAGAATGCAGGGGAGGTCATTTAAATAGTCATTTTTGTTTTGCTGCATATGCCTGTGCTGCACGTCTCTTGTAATACTGTTTATATCCTTAGCACTTGTTAATTGTGTCTAAACTTCTGGCTTGAATTTGGCACTTTCTGACCCAATTTCAGACCGCATTATGCGAGAGCCTTCCTTGTTGGTTTGCAGAGCCTCAGACTAATGGTGGTTTCTGGAGCTTGTGGAACCTGAAAGCTGCTTTGTTGGAGCCTGCAAACAGATGTTGGGGGCCTGCTCCTGTATGTGCATTGCAGCTGAATTGCAGAGTTAGCTGCTGTAGGTGGATTCAAACCAGTTTATGTGACAAGACTAGTCTATCTCCTAACCAGCTGCCTCTTGCGCAGCAGGAGGTAGAAGAGGATCAGATCTCCATCTTCAGCTGAAATGTTAATTTACCTGCAAGAAGTTTTTGGGGTTTTTTTTTTGGGAGGGGGGAGAAGCTGGAGGAGAAGGGGCCCTGCTTTATTTGTAGCCATTATAGATAGTGGTTTGGCTCTGTAGTTTTGTTTTTTCCTTCTCTGGGAAGAGCCCCACCGTGTATTAGGCACACGGATAAGGCTTAGTATCTGTTGAAGATAGTGGGAAAACTGCATTTGTAGGCAGAATGGGAATTTCTTCTCTTTTGGCTCATTTGTCATGGCATGACATTGTCCTGCTGTTTTGTCCTTGTTTTTTGCAGAACATCCAGAAGATGCTTGGCCTTGCTCCTTCCCGGGCTGCCACTAAGCAAGCAGGGGGCTTCCTTGGCCCGCCACCCCAGGCGGGGAAGTTCTCCTAAAGCCGTGGCCACAACCTCCAGCACGGCTGACAGCTGCACCAGACTATCTTCAGGGAAGAGCAAGATTGGATTCTACAGGAGGCTTCTCATTCAAAAAAGGCCTTTGGAGCATTGGCCACAGTTTTGGGCATGTCTTGCATATGGAGTATTGTGCCAGCAGCTGTTTGCTCATCCACACAGTTCTCAGAAGATAACTTGCCCTTTTGTTTCTGGTATATCTGAGAAATAAATGGTATGGGCATGTTGATTTAGATGTCTGTTAATTGTGCCACCAGTAGAACTATCTTGATTTAAGAGAGGGCACAGTTGATTTAGTTTGTGTTGTGGAAGTCAACTTGGTAAGAATATAAAACTGCAAAGTAGGCAATTTAGAAATTCAGAGAAATACTGTGACTTGACCCTTTTGTCATAGCTGCACTGGCTAGAGCCCTGGGCCTTATGGAGCTAGGCAAGTAGGTATCGTTACTTTTATAAAACTTCCCGTGTTGAGGATGAAGCTTTTTGTTGGCTCAGGTAACCAGAGGTGTGGGAACCAGGCCCTGTCCCTTGCTGTCCTTGGATGTTATGAGGTTCTGGATGTGCTGTCATCCTATATTTTTGGCAAAGTATAACCTCACTGAGGTTTCTGTGGCATTAAACTGCTTCCATTTAAGTTGCTTAGACACACAAAGGTATTTCTAGGAAGCTCCCTGTGTTGTGTTCTGCTTTTTCAAATAACTACCTGTTCGATTTTATTGGGCAGACCCCTCTCCTTTGAAAGGGGAGAATAAATCTTGCTGCCACACTGAAGTTGGGCTGGCAGTAGTTCTAGAGCTTTGCAGTGGGCATAGGGACTGTTGCTTTCCCACTTCCGTGACCACAAATTTATAACCTGGTACCTCTTTCTAGGAGTGTTTAACTAAATGCATGGCAAGGGAATAAATCTGAACAATCCTTTGGCAGTGTAGTGCATGCGCATTTCTGTCCCAAGTACTGAATACTGGGGTAATACTCAATATTAAGCATGGGGCACTGACAGGTGTACTTAAAGATAAATCATCTGTGGGTGCTACACCTTGAGGCTGCATTATACACTTAAAAATGGGTATCAGGTTAAGGAATGTGTAGGTTGTACCCTGATGTACCTAGCATGAGAAGGTTAGGCTCTAAGGCTGCATTTTTGACATTCCATCTTGTCTGGTGTGGCTAAACTCCCACAAGGAGCAACCCTGGTGCTGCAATTACTGTTTGCCTTGGTAGGTGCTTCTGGCTTAAAGAGCTGGTCCCATGGCAAAGCTAGCTAGCCAGAAACACTCCAGCTTCTTTCTTCTATGGATTCACTTTGATGAATTAGTTTATTTTGCAGCATATAGCTGTCAGATTCAACAGGATGGGTGAGGAACTGTAGCAGCCAAATCTGATTAGGAGTGATGTCAAACTGCCCCTTCATGAATTGGGAAATGGGTCCTATGGTAAACTTGCCTGATGCTGTCACACAGACCCTGCCCTCAGCAAATCTGCTGTGTATTCTGAAAGGCACCTATTGCACCACACTTCTGTCGCTTGGGGGGAAGCCTTTGCATGTCCAAAGGTCATCTGAAAATTAGCAGTCTGTTGCTAGATTCTGCTTGCTTTCTCTTGTCACCTCTGAGCTTGGTATAATCATTCCCTGGTGGTGGTTAATCATTATAATGCACTGAGAAGAATGTTTTCTTAATTTAGGCCACTAAAGGCTTCTATTCTAAGAATCTACAAACTTCTGTGGAAAAACAGCTTATGACTACATGAAGACTGTAGTTTGGAGGAAGGAAAGTTTCATGGATAACTATATATATAATGTACATGTCAAGGTAAATAAGTGCAGTCACCTCTCTGAAGAGGTTTGACTGCTGTGGGCTGGTTGATGCAGTTCTCCGACTCCACACAGTGCTCCCTTAGTCATCTCGGCTGCTGCTTCAGGCCTGTTTGTGTCCATTTTAACTCCTTTTACAAACCCAAGTGTAATCTCAGGTCCTCTCCCTGGTAGTAGCTACCAGAAGCTTGTACAGAGGAACAAATTAGAAACCTCATGGTTATGAAATAATTTCTCTATGGTGAAAAGGCTTTTGAAACGCCTGTGTTTCTGGGATAGAAGAAGCTGCATCATGGATAGGCCAGGCTGAGAAGCCAAGCAGAGGTAAAGCTGCTGTCATTATGCCAGCAAAAGGTACTCATGGTTTCCCCCACCAAGAGGAGCCAAGACCCCTGAGTTTTCCTGGAGTTAATGGTTTGTGCTCAGAAGTAGGAAGATGGATGTCTGCCTGTGTCACCCTGTTTTACACTGCCTTAACATAATGGCAGGTATCTTTGCTCCTTCCCGTGGAGGCAAGCTATGCTGACCACTCCTCAACCTTATATCCTTATGCAGTGGTAACCCCGAGGCTCCTGGTGAGCCTGGAGGGCATGTGGGGATGGGCGGCCCGTGGGGTACAGCGCTCTCCACGCATTCCTCTGCCTTAGGGCTCTGCCCGGCACTCGTGCCGCGGGGAAGCCGCTCGCTCCCCCAGGACAAGGCCGAGCCGCCGGCAGCGGCTGCCACCGAGGGCC